TGTGATTGAGGTATGTTTCTTGTAAACAGCAGAATGTTGGATCCTGTTTTCGTATCCAATCTCTTAGTCTGTGCCTTTTTATAGGTGAATTGAGTGCATTGATATTAATTGATATTAATGACCAGTGGTTGTTGACTCCGGTTATTTTTTTGGGGGGGGGTGGTAGAGTTTGTGTGTTTCCCTTCTTTGAGTTGTGCTTGTGAAGGGTTGCTAGATGTCTGATTTTTGTAAGCATTGTTGGCAATGTTGGATTCCTTGGGTTGTGATTTTCCTTCTATTTCTTTCTGTAAGGCTGGGTTTGTGGCTACGTATTGTTTAAATTTGTTTTTATCCTGTAATATTTTGTTTTCTCCATTGATTGTGAATGATAGCTTGGCTGGGTATAGTAGTCTGGTTATGCATCCATGGTCTCTTAGTTTCTGCAGTACCTCTATCCAAGACCTTCTGGCTTTCATGGTTTCCATAGAGAAGTCCGGTGTAAGTCTGATAGGTTTACCTTTATAAGTTACTTGACCTTTTTCCTTTGCAGCTCTTATTATTCTTCCTTTAATCTGTATGTTTTGTGTTTTGATTGTTATATGGCAAGGGAATGGTTTTTTTTTGATCCAGTCTATTCGGTGTTCTGTATGCTTCTTGAACCTTCATAGGAATATCCTTCTTTAGGTTGGGAAAGTTTTCTTCTATAATTTTGTTGAATATATTTTCTGAGCCTTTGATCCACAATTCTTCTCCTTCTTCTACCCCTATTATTCTTAGGTTTGGTCTTTTTATTGTGTCCCAGATTTCTTGAATATTTTGTGATGAGAATTTGTTGGATTTGCCGTTTTCTTTGATCAGAGTGTTTATTTTCTCCATGGTGTCTTCAGTATCTGAGATTCGTTCTTCTATCTCTTGTATTCTATTGGTTATGCTTATTTCTGTAGTCTCTGTTCATTTACCTTGATTTTCCATACCCAGCCGGCCCCCAGTTTGTGTTTTCTTCATTGCCTCCATTTCAGTTTTCAATTCTTGAACTGTTTCCATTACCTGTTTGATTGTTTTTTCTTGGTTTCCCAGAGTATCGTTTACGGATTTACTCATTTCTTCAAACTTTTTGTTATACTTCTCCTCCATTTCTTTAAGGGAGTTATTCATCCCCTGTTTAAGGGACTCTATTGCTTTCATAATGGCACTTTTTTCCACTTCTTCTGGATTAGGGTGTTCAAGTCCTTCTGTTGTAAGATCGCTGGTGTCTGGTGTTTTCATGCTGTTTTTCAGATTGTTGGAGGAATTCTTGCCTTGGCGCCTGCCCATCTCTTCCTTCAAATGCTCTCCAATGGGTCTTCTAGTACTGGGTCAGGTTCCCTTGTTGGCCAGGGACCTTGCCCTCTGATGGATCTTCTGCTACAGGATCAGTACCCCTTGCTGGCCAGGAATCTCGCTGACAAAAGGCCTACCTTGTTGCAAGCAGGCTATTGAAACACTGGAACTCCCTCCTGCCGGGTTGCACTTACCACTCTGTCCCAACACCCAAACAGGCTGAGGTGGGGAATTTTATGGCCCAGAGGAAGAGAGGAAGAAGGAAAGTGGCTCTTGGGTGAAATCTGGGATAGAATAGGAGAAGAAAGGGCATAGCAGGGTGGAGCAGCCCCTGCAGATTGACCAGGGATTTAGGGCGGTCGGGTTATGTCTGTGCTCCATTGCCAGGCTTCTGCCGCGGGTCAGGAGCACACTTATCCCTCTGATGGATCTTCTACTACAGTGGAACAAAACTCTTTAACTACTTTTATTTGATATAGCATTGACAGTCTTGCCTATGATAATATAAGATTAAAAAGCATAAATTGCATTATTGTTCCTATTTACATAAAACATAATTGATTATGTATTAAAAATACCAGAGATATTTTAAATAAAATTCCTATAAATAACAAAGTTGGGGAGGCTTGCAGAACGCAAGATTAACAGATAAAAATTGGTTGTACTCAACATACCATCAAAGAATAATTAAAAATATATTTTTTACTGTGATTGATTTTATTGAGCTATACATTTTTCTACGCTCCCCTCCTTTTCTCTCCCCTTCCCTTTTACCCTCTCCTATTGACAGAGATTTCTGTCCTGCCTTTTCCTACAGTCCTTCAGTACCAAAGAAACACACACAGACCTTTAATTATAAACTAATTGCCCTATTAGCTCAGGCTTCTTATTAACTCTTACATCTTAAATTAGCCCATAACTCTTATCTGTGTTTGCCATGTGACTCAGTACCTTTTATCAATTAGGCATTCTCATCTTGCTTCCTTTGCATCAGGATGACAATTGCAGACTAAGGCTTTCCTCTTCCTACAATTCTGTTCTGGTCACTCCACCTCTAATTCCTGCCTGGCTACTGGCCAATCAGCATTTTATTAAACAACTGACAAACTTTTACAGAGTACAAGACCATTGTCCTACCGCACTCTTCTATGGTCCCCATGCTTCCAATTTACTCAGGAGATCTTGTCTTTTTCTACTTCCCATGTACATTAGATCCATGCATGTCTCTCTTAGGGTCCTCATTGTTGTCTAGGTTCTCTGGGATTATGAATTATAGGCTGGTAGAAATACATTTTTAAATACATTTAAAACACATTTTAAACAAAATATGCACAATTGCTTGCAAAATTAAAACTACAAAATGTAAGTGAAAGAAATCAAAGAAGATTTAAGTGGAGAAATGCACTATGCTCATAGATGTACTAATTAGTTTTTTGTCAGCTTGTCATGAACTAGTCATATGAGAAAGGGAACCTCATTTGAGAAAATGCCTTCTTAAGGCTGTCCTGCAGGTCATTTTCTTAATGATTGTTATGTGAGAACACAGTTAACTGTGAGTGGTACCATCACTTGCAAGTAGTCCTGGGTGCTATAGAAAAGCAGGCTGGACAAAGTAAGTATGGGGAGCAAGCCAGTGAGCAATGTTCTTCCATGCTTTTTGCTTCAGTTTCTGTATCAAGGTTTCCACCTTGAGTTCCTGCCCTGACTTTCTTCAATGATGGACTACAACTGTAAGTTGAACACCCTAATTTGCTTTTGGTCATGTTGTTTATCACAAACATAGAAAGCAAACTGTAACAGTGGGCTACAAGATTCAACACAGTAAAGATATCTGTTCCCACCAATGTACACGTTTAATGTAATACCAGTCAGACTTCAAGTATAGCTTTTGTTGATGTACACAAATTTAATCTAAAATTTCTATAGAAGGTCAGTTGCTAAATTAAACATATTTTACAAAAGAATACAATTTATTAATTACTCTACCCCAATTTATACCTTACTATACAGCTGAACAATTATTGCACATTCCTCAGAAGTTAATGAAACAGGATAGACAGGCCAGTAGAGCCACAAAAAACTGATTTGGTGTAAATACAATCAATGGGGAAAGAGTAATTTCTTCTACAAATGGTGTTAGAATAACTGGGCATTCATATGCAAAAATGAATCACAACCTAAATCATACTCCTTATAAAATAGTAACTCAAAACAGATTAAAGCCTTAAAATATAAAATGTAATGACTTAAAATTTTTAGGAAACCTAATAGGGAGTACTATTGGTGGGGAAGAGAGGGATCTAAAATTGGCTCCAAAAGCTATTAAAAGTCACACTAAAAAGAAAACATGAAAGTGGAAGGGGGACCTGTTGGAAAGAAAGCAGACAGAGACTGAGATGAGGGAGTGGCGGTTAAAATAACTAATATTCATATACATGTATGAAACTGCCAACAAATTGAAAAAATGTGAGTGTATAAACTGGATTGTGTCAAAATAAATAACTTTGTGAAATATACTGTTAGGAGAATGGGGGAGAAAGCCAGGCACAGTGACACATCTGTACCCATGTACAAATGTGTACACACACATACACAAACATATATGCACAATTAAAAAACTATATTGAAGCCAGGCAGTGGTGGCACACATCTTTCATCCCAGCACTCAGGAGGCAGAGACAGGAGGATCTCTGTGAGTTTGAGGCCAGCCTGGTCTACAGAGTGAGTTCCAGGACAGGCTCTAAAGCTACACAGAGAAGCCCTGCCTCGACCCCCCCAAAAAAAAGCTATATTGATGAATGTTTAAAATGTGAGTTTAGTTATTTTTTTACCCATAACTTTTATTCCTTCACAATTATATAAGTATAAAGTTACAAGAGAAATAGAAGATTCCTACATTAATTGTCCAGATACACATGTCATTAACAACTTTTCTGCTGTGAAATCTATCTATCTATCTCCATGTGTTTTATTTGGGCTTGTATTTTTGTATTTTAAATTCCATTTTTTAGGAATTCAGGTTTCTTTTTTAATATTACAAAAGTAATGATTTAGAAGAAATTGGAAATTTGCATAAGTAACTGTTAAGTTACAGGTCCAGGACAATTGGCTGAGGTACTTATTTAACATATGAAACAGGATCTGGCCTCCAGGTTTTCCCAGCATTCCTCAGTCTCTACCTTTTACATGGTATGGCTTGCATACCCTACCCTTTACCCTAAATTTTCCAAGCCAGGGGCTGAGCTGGAAAGAGGCTCTTCCCTATATAATCCAGACATTTTGGTTGCCTGCCCCTTTTGGACCTTTGGTCTCCTGGCTGCTGCATCTGATTCCCCTCCTCCTCTACCACATGGTTCAGCTCAGTTTGGTCATGTCCATTAATGACTCTCCTGGATGTCGCTGCCTCTGAGGCCTATGCTCTCCCACATATCTATAATAAACTTTCTTCTCCAATATACGTAGGAGTATTCATGTCCTTTCCTTTCCTTTTCTTTTGTTTTTCATTTAATAACCATATTTTTCATTTTAGAGAAATCACTTTAAAAGACCTTACACCAAAGAACATTACAGCAAAGTTAACCTTAGTCAAAGGACTTAATTTTTTTATGCTCAAATGGTTTGTTATGAAATGGCTCCTCCTTGTGGCAATTTTCAACAAAGGAATTTTAAATGGATGATAAATACTCTCACTTCTTTTTCAGGAAGTCTGTCCAAAAAAAGAACACAGATGTTGCACCAATTTGTACTACTTTTTGCTGTGTTTGATGAAGGTTAGTGAGCTTCAGTCAGATATTTGAATTCCTATAAGAAGTCAAATATGTAACCAGTACCTTTATCCTATGTTGGAGAAAGTGGGCTGCATATGTTCAGAAAAGATATTGATTATAGGAAGACCACAAAGTGTATTACTGTTCAGGAGTAAAGGAAATGGGGGACAAGAATAACTCTAAGACAAAAATGTAACCTAAGTTCAAATTGCATCTATGAAGTAAAACATAGAGCAGCCCGGGTTTAGGTAATAAATACTTTTGTCTCTACTTCTTAAATATCTTCTGAAGCATTAATCTAATTAATCTTATTGATAAAAAACCAGGAGTTAAATATTGGGGTAAGAACCTGAAAGATCAGAGAACAGGGAGCAGCCACTAGTTGCTTAATGTTGTAATGAGAGCCACTTGTTTGTTACCGACTGCTCAGCCCTGAAATAATCACACAGAAACTATATTGTTTAAAACACTGCTTGGCCAATGACTCTAGTGCATTTCTGGATAACTCATATCTTAAACTAACCCATCTCCCTTAATCTGTGTATTGCCATGTGGCTGTGGCTTACCGGGTAAGGTTCTGTCTGGTGTCTGTCTCCAGTGGGGCTACATGGCTTCTCTCTGACTCTGCCCTTCTTTCTCCCAGGATTCAGTTTAGTTTTTCCCCACCTAAGTCCTGCACTGCCATAGGTCCAAAGCAGTTTCTTTATTCATTAATGGTAATCACAGCATACAGAGGGGAATCCTACATCAGCTTCCTACCTTTTCTGTAATTCCATCCAAAAAGGGCTGAGATTCTCTCTCAGCTCCACCTTACTACTTCCTATCTCCTCTCTGTCTACAGTTGTCCAAACCTCTGTGGTCAGCTAGTAGCTTGCTCCACCCTCTGACTCCAAGTAAGCTTTGTTTGTCAGAATACAATCAAAAAATCAAACACTGTATTCTTACTGTAATTCATATTTAATAACTGATTTTGTTGTATATAGTTTTATTATATTAAGGTTAAAACTTCCCTTTTTAATTAGAAAAAAGGGAGGAAATGCCATGGTACAATCTTCTTCTACACTATGAATATGTATTATTCTCATTGTTTAATAAAAAGCTGACAGGCCAGTAGCTGTGCAGAAAGTTAGGTAGGAAAGTAAAACTGAGAATGATGAGAAGGAGGGCAGAGTCAGGGGGAGATTCTAACCTGCTGCCCAGCAAGCAACACATGATAGAGACCAGGCAAAGCTATGTTGGCAATTCATTGATTAATAGAAATGGGTTAATTTAAATGTAAGAATTAGCTAGTAACAAACCTGAGTTATCAGCCAAGCATTTATAGTTCATATTCAACCTTTGAGTCAGTTATTTGGGACCTGGCAGTCAGGACAGAAAATATCCATTTACAATCTTCATTTAAAAATCTTCTGTTACATTTTAATTATTTATTTGTATGACCTTGGGGAGATGGGGGTGTGTCCATGCCATGGTGCTTGAATGCAGGTCAAAGGATAACTTGTGGAAATCAGTTTTCTCAGTCTACCATGTTGGTTACCATCAGGTCACCAGGCTTAGAGGCGGGCACCTTTATCCACTGAGAATTCTTGCTAACCCCTATCTTCTTTTGATAATTATCTATTGCTAAGTGCAAAACATTGAGCAAATTACTTACCTCTCTCTCCGCCTTATTTTCCTCACATCTAAAATTGAAATAATAGTATTTTTCATAGAATTGTTGTAAGGATTAATTGATTTCACTTAAGTAATTTAGAACACTGTGTGGCAGAAGAGGTATATAATCCTCTCCCCCTCTTGTCCACTTGCACTGTAGGCCATGTCATCTTTATTCTAAATAGTCTCTCTTTTTTGTTTTTCATGTTTTATTTTTAATAAAACAGCCCAAATAATTTTCAGTGCTTCAACTTTTATTAGTTTTGGAGAGAAGGTTGAGAAGCCTTCAAGTTACTGGGGTTTCCTTGCTACAAAATGGAATGAAGCAGTTTATGATAGAGCAAGGAGTGACAACCCTTTTAAATCTATCATCTAACTTGCAAAATGAAATTCTTGTGGCTCAAACTAACCAATATTATTCCTTCTCCTAGTTATCATTTCACTCTCCCCACTATCATAATGGAAAAATATAGGGAAAGGTAATTGGTTTCAAAAAATGTAATTTTCTTCTCAGTGACTCTGAGTTTGTGCAAACTCTGCTGACAAAAATTCAGAGTGTGAATCGTCTTTGTCACAAAGGAGGAAAAGAAAGAAGGTAAAGGGTCTGTAATTCTTGAAACAGAGTTCAGCTGATCTTATTTTTTCCCCCCTCTCACCAGGAAAGAGCTGGCATTCAGAAACAAAGGACTCCTTCATACAGGCTATGGATTCCATGTCTACTGGAGCCTGGCCTAAAATGCACACAGTCAATGGATATATAAACAGGTCTCTGCCAGGTATGTACATGACTGCTCAACAATCATAAAAAATTATGGTTTGAGAATTAAAAACCATAATTCTTTTATCCAGCTTTCAGAGAGTTTTGCATCCAAGTAAAAAACTCACTAAATTCTAGACTCTTTTTTTGTTGTTTGTAGCTGATTCCTCCTTATGTCACCCCAAAATTAGGGCCCTTTCCTTTGCTTAAATGAGAGGACTTTCAGAATGAACAAACATTAAAGAGGAGCTGGAAATATGAAAACAATATATAAAGATAATAAAAAATAATCCCAATGGAGAAAAAAACAATTAGAACAAATAGATTTTTAAATTAGCAATATGATTGTCACAATACAAATAATGACAAGTAGATAGGGAAAATCTCCAATAAAGTAAAATCAAAAGAGTTTAAAAGATTGAAAATACACTTTAAATTGAGTTCAGTAAAACAATAAAAACAGAAATGTTAAGAAATAAAAGATACGAGTATTCAGAAATAAAATCACTATTAGTATGAACAAAACTCCACACAAAATGATCATTGTGGCAATTCATAGTGCATAGATGCTTGAACCTTTTCCTGGAAGAAATTGTTCATGTATGAAAGAAGAGGAATTAGACTGACAATATGGTAGAGCAGTATCTTTAAAAAGAGATCTAAGGGAAAGATTATTTTCAAGCTAGAATTAAGATGATGAATCAGCTTTGTTAAATAATAGAAAATCTTATCAGCCATGGTAGGCCTTAGCAACCACTGAATATGTACTACAGCAAAACTAAAGAGTAAATTAAAGAAACATGTTCATGTTATGTAGCAGTATGACAGTCACTCATGGCTTTGGCTAAAGCTGTTGGTTTGATAGTGTCATAACTAACTTCCTTGGTAACTTTGTTAAGGTAGCAGTAAAATTTGTAGGGTCATTTTGCCCATCCTTTTCTAGCAAGTACTTTCATTTTCAAGTTCCCTATTTCTTTGCCACAGTTGTCTAATTTCCAATTTACAGGTCTGATTGGATGCCATAAGAAATCAGTCTACTGGCACGTGATTGGAATGGGTACCACCCCTGAAGTGCACTCAATATTCCTTGAAGGTCACACGTTTCTCGTGAGGAATCACCGTCAGGCTTCATTGGAAATATCACCAATAACTTTTCTTACTGCTCAAACACTCTTGATAGATCTTGGAGAGTTCCTGCTATTTTGTCATATCTCTTCCCATAAACATGGTACTACTATTTTGGATCTTAAAAAACAAGTATTATAAAATATTCTGTTTTAATCTTAATGAAATTTCCTGGGCAATGTACAATACAATGTATTGCAGAAATACCATTATAGAGTTAGGATTATGCTAGACTTTAACTGAAATCTTCTAATGTAAAGATTTTTATCTTGAATATATAAGGACTTTACTGTTAGTATTATGTATTTTTAGTTAAATATCTGTAACAGAAGGAGGAGACATAGTTTAGGAATGAATGAGATAGGGAAATGAAGGTTAATGAATCCCATTAACTAGGATTCAGTGCTATGGGAAGAGATTTAGAGATATTTCCATGAGAAATATAGGGAAATGGGGTATCACATGAAGTTTTCAAGGACTGTTTGATGGAGGTTTTGCAAAGGCACAAAGATCCTGTATGAACAAATGTGCCTACAGTATCAATTCCTGGTCATATGATGTTGTAGGTAGTTGTGCAAATTCATATCAAATAATTCTTTTGCTTTCAGTTTCTTCTTGTGTATTAACTTTGTTCATTTTTTTGTCTTGGATCAACCTAATAACTCTTTCTTAGTTATGTCCATTTAAGGCTTAGTCTGTTATATTGCCAAAACAGAATATCAGAAATAGAGTAATTAGTAATAAAGTTATTGTCTCTCTCAGTTCAAGAGGCCAGAAAGTCAAATATCAAGATATTGTCATTTAATGGGGGCTTTCTTTCTGTGTTATAGTACAGGAAAATGATACATATGGAAGAGGGGCAAAAGAGAAAAAAAAGACATAGGGAGGAAGGAGAGAAGCAATGTCCTGAATTGTTTGGGTTGTCTGACTGCAGATGGCATGGAAGCTTATGTCAAAGTAGATAGCTGCCCTGAGGAACCCCAATGGCAAAAGAAAAATAATGAAGAAATGGAAGATTATGATGATGATCTTGATTCAGAAATGGACATGTTCATATTGGATGATGACAACTCTCCTTTTATCCAAATTCGCTCAGTTGCCAAGAAGTACCCTAAAACTTGGATACATTATATTTCTGCTGAGGAGGAAGACTGGGACTATGCTCCTTCACTTCTCACGTCAGATGATGGGTAAACACCTTTGGACTCTTGTTACTACCCTCCCTTACACTCAAATTCTTCTTACTTATTCAAACCAATGAATCCTTAAGACATATTTAAGAGTTAGTATGTCATTGGATCAAATGGTGAGGAAGTTTTGCTAACCACCATTTCATCACTGTGGCAAAATACTGAAATTAACAACTTTTAAGTGGGAAAGGTTTGTTTTGACTCATAGATTTGACTCATAGAATTTTGTTTTGGGCTTATTACAGCACAGAAATTAACAATAAAGTGCACAGTGGACCTTTCCTGTTCCGTACACAGCTGTCAGGAAACAAAGAGTAGATAAAAGGGGCCTGAGGTTCCAATATCATCCATTCAAGAGCATACCCCCAATAACTAAGTTCTTCTCACTAGGCTCCAACTATTAAAGGTTTTATCACCTCCCACTAGCTTCATATCCTGGTGTCTAAGCCTTTAATACATGCACCTTCTGTGAAGATTCATAGAACATTAGATATTAGCACAGGTAAGCCTAAGACTATAATTCTCTTGCTCTTTGCTTGGAGTAAATTATATTAGAATTGGATTTTTGGCATCTAATATTTTTTGTCCTTACCTCTCACCTTTTGTCTCTTGTACAGAAGTTATAAAAGCCAGTATCTGAGCAATGGTCCTCATCGGATTGGTAGGAAATACAAAAAAGTCAGATTTATAGCATACACAGATGAAACCTTTAAGACTCGTGAAACTATCCAGCAAGAATCAGGAATCTTGGGACCTTTACTTTATGGGGAAGTTGGAGACACTTTGTTGGTAAGTCAAGGGAAAATATGAGATTGCTTGAGAAAAAAGAGAAGTCTCAATGTGGGAGAGATAACTCAGTGGTTAAGAACACTTGTTATTATTGCAGAGGAACTGGGTTGGACTCTCAGCACTCATGTGGAAACTCATAACCATCCGTAACTCTAGTTTGAGGGAATCCAAAACTCTCTGCTGACCTCCATAGGTACTGGACATAATATCATACACATACACACATACAGGCAAAGCACTCATATACATAAATAAAATAAATCTTTTTTAAAAAAAAGTCTAGGAGGATTTAAGTTTCTGTGATCCTTCAGAATCAGTCTTATCTTCTTTTTTGCATGTTAATATAAATGTATTTAATTTTCATTAGATTTAAAAAAAATACCAATCCAAATTCCCACTCTCTCCCCTCCTCCCAATCCCTCCACACTCCCTCCCACCCCACTCCCCTCCAATCCTAAAGGAGGATAGACACTTTGCTTTGTGGAAGGTTCCAGGCCCTCCCTACTACATCTAGGTTGAGCAAGGTATACATCCTAAGAGAAGAGGATCCCAAAAAGCCAGTACAAGCAGTAGGGATAAATCCTGGTGCCACTGCCAGTGGCCTCTCAGTCTGCCCCAGTCATGCAACTGTCAACCACTTTCAGAGGGACTAGTTGGTCCTATGCTTGTCCCTTCCCAGTCCTGGACAGATATTTTAAAAATTATGAATGTTGCACAAACAAAATATACTCATATATAGTAAGTATATGGAATAAAATATAATGTGACCAACCACACTCTCAACTTCTTTTAACAACTTACTATTTAGACCAATACATGCATATCCTTTCAGAACTTTATTCATTAATTGTTTTTTTCCTTCATTAACTTTTAAAATAGAAATCATACCCTCAGATGCAGAGGTAATCTTCAGACATCTTCCATACTATTTCCGTGTTATAGTTTTTCTTTTTTTTAAATTCTTCTTTAAAACTCTTGTAATCAGACAGTGTCACCTGCCACCATTGCTTGAGGCTATTTATTGTCCTCCTTGTTATACCTGCTTATTAAGTGATAAATCTTATAACCTGGACCACTGTCTCCTTCTCCAATGTTGAGAAATTAAGTGCCAAGAATTCAGAAAGGCTGAGAAAAAGTAATGTCCTTAGAAGACAAGAAATTTCACTTCATGTGGGAGATTCAATTACTGAAGTCATTGAAATTGAAAAGGGTTGTGACAAAACTAAGCAGCTACCTAAGCTTCTTTTTCATGAAAGGAATGAATATATTGAATTTTATTAACGGCTCAGACTCCTGTAATGTAAATATAGAAAGCTTTTGATTTTCCAGAACTAGGTCACAGTTTTCCTGTCGATCCTAGTCATTTTAGGATTTGATCTCATATCTCACCTATACTTTCAGATTATATTTAAGAATCAAGCAAGCAGACCATATAACATTTACCCTCAAGGGATCACTGATGTCAGCCCCCTGCACTCAAGGAGATTGCCAAGAGGTAAGTAGTATCTCAGTTTATAAATCTTTTTTGATGTAGATACACTGGAGGTACAACTTCAGCTGTTGACACACAATCTTTACAATAATTTTACAAAAGTCTTCTTTGTTTTCTCTAAACATTTATTCTAAAGATAATAAATCCAAAAATAGTACTTGTATCATTTTAGTATTGCAAGGTCATTTTATCAATATATTTGCCATAGAACTAGGTGATATGCTGTGGTTATTTTCTTGTTCACATCCCTAATCATTTTATTATTAAAATAAAATAGATTCTTCTTCTATATGTAAGAATATGCAAATATTATTTCTGTTTTTTGTATTAAGAAGTAAACTTATTCAAATTTACATGTTATAAAAACATGGCATAGGTGAGGGAGAGATGTCTGACCGCCAACCACCCAAACCCTACCCCTACCCCTACCCCACCCACCTTCCTCTTGAGGCCTGTGGCAGGTGAGAGAGCAGGTCCAAGGGCATGAGAGCAAGAGAGCTAGTCCTGCCCCTCACCAGCTGCAGCACTTGGGAGTGGCCCCTGCACTTCAACTGGGCAACACAGTAGAGCTGTCCCTCATGGTATAGGTATGGGTGAACCAGCACTGAGGGTATCAGAGCTAGAGAACCTATCCTGCCCCTTGCTGACTGTTGCATGTGGTGAACTAACTAGGGCAGTGCTGGAGAGCTCACCCTGGTGATGAGAATGGGGGAAAACTGGTAAGCTGACCAACCCTGCAACCACCCAGACCCAAAACCAGGGCTATGAGTTGGCCCACCCCAACATCCACCCCATCTATGATCTGCTGGAGCATGTGAAGGGGCCTGACCCAGAGACCCAATGCTGCAGGATCTCCACAGGCTATCCAAGAGGAGTCCTAGTGAGGACCCAGTATTGATAGTGTAGCAGAAACCAGAGACCTTGAACCAGACCAATAACTCATTGCAGTGAATACTTGCAAGCAAAGATGTATGGACTAAAGGGTATAATGTGTCACATTACAGCTTCCATGACAAGATTTTCCTTTTTTTTTCTTTTCTCTTAAATTTTACGTTGTATTAGTTTGAGAGGGAGGTTGCAAGGGCAGAGGGTGGATACAAAGGGATGGGGAGATGAATGGGATCAAGATGCATGATATAAAAACCACAAATAACCAATAAATGGTTTTATGGATTAGTAGTTCCCTTGAAATAAAAACATGATTATTGTTAAAAGGGAAACTTTAGGTACACTGAACTTGATAGAATTTACTTGAAAAAATAATAATTCTTGAATTAATTTTGGACTACAAATGTTTTAGAATATTCCACCTCACCACACATACACAGAGGCTGTATTTACAGACAAAACAGAAAACGACATACAAATAACCTGATTAAATGTAACTAGCTGTTGTCTTATATGATGGTTTCACAGCTTCAGTCTTAAAGGGCCTGGAGGTTCAGCTGTTTGCTAAGACTCAGCTACGTGTTACATGAGTATATTCAAAGTTAGGTTAAAATTGTTTATATACCAAGTTAGGTTGCATTTTCTATGCATAGAGACCTTTAATACAAAGTTGAAACATGTATAGAAGCAAATTTAGGCCAAATTTAATACAACATTACTAAATATGTAGCTCATTATACTCAATTGATCTAATTCTGCTTTGGGTGTGGGTAGGTATAAAGCATGTGAAAGATTTTCCAATTCGTCCAGGAGAGATATTCAAGTATAAATGGACAGTAACTGTAGAAGATGGACCAACTAAATCAGATCCACGGTGCCTGACCCGCTATTATTCAAGTTTCATTAACCCTGAGAGAGATCTAGCTTCAGGACTCATTGGCCCTCTTCTCATCTGCTACAAAGAATCTGTAGATCAAAGAGGAAATCAGGTGAGATCTTTCCTTACCAAGTATTAATTTTGAAACTAAAAGTATAATAAAATGCCTATGAACTTATAGATATTTCCTATACTCTCTTAATATAGGTACCACTATAACCTGTAGAAAATATAATCCAATAAAAGTGATTAAACTGAGTTCTACTTAGCTTTTATTAAATTTGAGTTTTCTAAGAAACTTGCCTTCTGGATAAGCAGAAAAGCCAGGACCATAGATTCTTTCTATAATACTCAGTCCCAATCTGGGGTTTTGCTTTCTCCCAAGGTTCTTGCCATTTTTACCTGTCCAATTGCCACCTACATTTAAATGACTAATTTTATTTGAGACAGAGTTCCAGGTGTCCCAGGCTGGTCTCAAACTCCTTACACAGGTGAATATGGTCGTTGACTTCTGGTCCTCCTACATATACATTGTGAATACTGGATTTATAGGTATCTGTCAGTTTATGCCCAATTAATGCAGTACTGGATTTCAGACCTATAACTTTGTGCATGCTAAGCAAACTGAAATACATCTACCAACTAAAATACTTCCCAGGCCAATATAATTTTTAAACCTACAAATTTGTATCTACAGCCTATGTTTCTTTCCTGGACATCTCATTATGAATTAATCAAAAACACCTTAAAATTAACCTTGTAGGTGAAACATGCCTCCAGTCTCAGTACAGGGATACTGAGTTAGGTGAATTGTGAGTTTAAGGCCAGCTTGGAATACATAGGAAGTTCTAGGCCAGCTTCTCCCATGAGGAAAAACTGTGAGAAAACAAAAACAATACATATGTAGCATCTACAACACTATGTGACATTTAGTAATGGGCCAATATTTGTTGAGGAAATATAAAATTATTTTGATTATGGTTAGAATTTAGACTATTTCTGCTGCTTTAGAAAATTATCTGAGCGGGGCAGTGGCGGCATACACCTTTAATCCCAACACTTAGGAGGTGGATTTCTGAGAGTTTGAGGTCAGCCTGGTCTACAGAGTTCCAGGAAGCCAAGGCTGTTACACAGAGAAGCCCTGCCTCTGAAAAAAAAAAGTCTGAGTAAGAAAAACTTAGTTTTTTTTTTTTTTTTTTTTTTTTTTTTTTTTACAAAAATCTCATTTCTTAACTACAGAAGAACTCATTGCTATATTTTGAGGCTTGACTGCACTTATTTAGGCTATTTAGGATACATAAATCCCTACTAGTTGGAAGGGATTTCATAGGTTTAATGAGCAAAGGACTTGAATACAGGTATAACATATGGTATACAAATTTAGAGTAGTGGGACTTTGAACTTAATATTTGGATATGACCAAATATCTTTCCTGAAAATGTTTCCTAATTATACTTTTCCTACCAGCTTTTGGAAGGTGACTGAAATATATATTTTCCAATTTCCTCTTCAGCATTTTGACTTTTCAACTATAGGTTATACAAAATGAAATTTACACATATGATGTTTAGATATTAAATTTTATACTCAATTAGCAGGTTACTAACTCATGAATTTGGCTTACTATAAAAAGTACTATTCTAAGATACTGGGTTCTTTAGAACAAAATCTTTATGGTATTAGTATTATTCATTGTTAATCCTATCATATCTAAATCCTTTTTATATTTTAATTTACTATAAGCTGGTAGCCTTATGTAAGTTAGTTATAAGATAGAAACTTAGAAATGGTATTGATTTTATTTTACTTGGATGACTTATTTTTAAAATCTATATTTCTCTGCATTAAACATGGAAAAATTAGGCTATAAACTGTACCAGGATATGATCTTGGGTCCAGGAAGAATGAAATTTACTGCATCCAATTACCTTCCTGCCTTGAAGTTACATTAGTTCTAAACATATACTCATCACTCAAAATGCTCATCTCTGTTCCAAGACATGCCATAATAGTGACTGTTCAGAGAAAGTGAATTGAACCAAAGAATTAGTATATGCCTCCATCCTGGTTGCTAGCTCCTACCTACAATATGAGTGGCATTTCCTTCTCCCTTTTAATATATGTTATTAACAGATGATGTCAGACAAGAGAAATGTTATCCTGTTTTCTCTGTTTGATGAGAACCAAAGCTGGTACCTCACAGAGAACATGCAACGCTTCCTCCCCAATGCATCTGATACACAGCCCCAGGACCCTGAGTTCCAGACCTCCAACATCATGCACAGTGAGTAAAGAATCACTTGTAGCTGGGTGGTGGTGGCACATGCCTTTAATCCCATCACTCAGTAGGCAGATCTCTGTGAGTTCAAGACCAGACTGGTCTACAGAGTGAGTTCCAGGACAGCTAGGGCTGTTACATAGAGAAATCCTTTCTCAAACAAACAAATAAATAAAAAAGAATCATCTGTTTTTAATGCACATCTGGTAAAGGGAAATTGATTGCTCCAACTGATGTCTAGATAATATGTGTTATGTATATACTATAAATAAATATGTAACTGTTATATATATTATATTATATTTTAAAATATAATGCATATTTTAAAAACTCACTAACGACTTTTCCTTTCAATGTTTATTTGGCTACTCTGTTCTTTTAATTTATATTTTATCTCCTATATTACTCCTTTTTGCCAACCATTCCATACCAAGATAATTCATTTCAGAATATTTTCTTATTATTATATAACCATATGCTACATACATAGTAGCCTTTCTAAAATGTTAGATTTATCTCCTCATTGTCTAAGATCATTTCTTCTTCAATCTATCTTTAGCTTTTAGATCTTGCTTGACCTGTATGTACTCTTGCATGATCTTCTCTTTGTACCTGTCTGTAGACCGAGTTTCTGTCCCACTTGGTCCTGCAGTCATTCAGTCCCAAAGAACCACATAGAGGCTTATATTAATTATAAACTGTTTGGCCTATTAGCTCAGGCTTATTACTAACTAGTCCTTACAATGTAAATTAACCCATAATTCTTGTCTATGTTTAGCCACATGGCTTGGTACCATTCTCACCTTGCTTGCTCTGCATCTGCCTGGTGACTGCCTTTCTGCCTTTTTTCTTCCCAGAATTCTCCTAGTCTGGTTGCTTTGCCTATACTTCCTGCCTGGCTCCTGGCCAATCAGCATTTTATTAAACCAATACTAGTGACAAATCTTTACAGTGTACAAGAGCATTATCCCACAGCACCTGTCTTTCTGTATTGTAATAATCTATTATAAAGAATTTAGGATCTGGGGCTGGAGAGATGGCTCAGAGGTTAAGAGCACTGGCTGCTTTTCCAGAGGTTCTGAGTTCAATTCCCAGCAAACACATGGTGGCTCACAACCACCTATAATGAGATTTGGTGTCTTCTTCTGGTCTGCAGGCATACATGCAGGCAGAACACTGTATATATAATAAATAAATAAATCTTAAAATAAAATAAAATTAAAAAAAAGAATTTAGGATCTGCACTAATAACCTTATTTTAACTAATTTTCTCCTTTAAGGACCCATTTCCAAATACAGCCACATTTGGAAACATTGGAGTTTCAAGTATCAACAAGAAAATTTGGGGAACACAATTCAGTATATAAATTATACATATATATTGTTTATATATAAACACAGATCTGAGTAGCCAAAAACATAGTAAAAGTTTAATCTTACTATACTACTAGGAAAGGATTCTATCAGTAAGAGAAATAACATGACATGCCTATCAAACTGCAAAACTAGGAGACCATTATTGCTAGTGGGCATGGGTAAAGGGGGACTGTCATACAGTACTAGTAGAAAACACTAATAGTTCTTTTTGAAGACTACCTCATGTATTAAAATTTTAAATATATGCTTTTGAAGTCCTGATTCTCACTTGGATGGAATAAACACATATCACCCTGTCTATTTCATATAATGTAACTAAAATACCTAACCAAATCATGGAAAAGCTGCCTAAGAACAGAACCTTGAAAAGTTATGTTGTAAGTTATACTCACCTTCCAGGATGTGCCTTCTATCAGAATTCTATGCCCCTTAGCCCATAGTATTGGTCCTCAGCTTCAAGTCAACCTAAGCCTCAAATTTAATTTGAATTTCTGGTAATAGTTGCCTATTATATTCCTGAGTCATAGTACTTTATTCTCCCTTTTTCTAAAACTTTTGGTGTTTATAATCCCTTCAATTGCATTTATATTTTTTCATATACTCAAAGACATGGCTTATTTTGTAAAGAGTCTGATCATAATTTTTAACTCAAATGACACATAATTTTTTTCTTCCTCTTCTCTTAAGGTGGTCATGATTTTGTTGTTGATTTTCCCCACCTGACAGAATATTGCATTTTATTGTTTCCTTAGTGTAGTATAAACTAGGTATCTATGATTTTATTTTTCTATCCATCACTTCTCCATTTCCTACTATAGCTTATTTCAAATACTAGGGTAAGCACCTGTCTGGACAGTGAAAGTATATTATTTTAATAAAGACGGTATTTAAAGTAAGAGAGAGATTGTGACATAGAATGTTAAAAAAGTGAAACAGGTGTATTAGTCAGGGTTCTCTGAAGTAACAGAACTTATAATATATAATATATTATATATATATACATATATATATATATATATATATATATATATATATACATATATCCATCCTTGGGAGCTGTGAAGAAATATAATTGTGTGGTTTCAGACTTCTACTCTGTATATTGTTATGACATCTTTAGCAGGCTAATGTAGTAGTAACATTCCCCCACCTCCAGTTGTACATAGTTCACAAAGACCTGTATTAATCCATGGGAAAGCTACTTTTGCTAGTGATATGGAATGTATGTTTCCAAATATATCTCTAAATTTCAAATTTTTTAGATTCTGTGTAGCCATCTCTATCTTGCTTTAAACATTGTCTCTATTAAAATAATATACTTTCACTGTCCAGACAGGTACTTCTTACTCTAGTGTTTGAAACAAGCTGTAGTAGGAAATGGAGAAGCGATGGATAGAAAAATAAAATTATAGATATCTAGTTTATATTACACTAAGGAAGTAATAAAATGCAATGGACAGTTGTATTTTTCATAATTATTTACCAACTATCTCATTATTTTACTTATTTTCTGAGATGTTGCCCTTTTCATATATATTTAATTTCTACTTATATCTATGTCAGTTTCTGAACTCTATATTTAATTTGATATATTTGCTTACATTAATAATGCATTTAAGGGCGATGGAGAGATGGATATTGTGTCTATGCTAAAACAATCTAACCAAAAGAAATTTGGAAAGGAAAGGGTTTATTTGGCTTACACTTCCAGGCCATAGTTCACCACTGATGGAAGTAAAGGCAGGAACCTGGCGACAGAAATCATGAAGTGAAGCATGATCAAAAACTCAGGGAGAGAAATTGGGGTTCAACCTGAATATTTGAAAAGTAAAACAGCCAGCTACTGGCTCTTACCTCATGAAATTCTGAACACTCTTTCTTTACCTCCTTGGCAAGTACATTTCTTCACTGTTATTAAAGCCTACCTCTTTGGGATTCTGGTGTATACTGAAGGCTGTAGTGGCATTTCAATCATCTTTTAATAAATAAAGCTTGCCTGAAGATCAAAATTAAAACAGCCCCACTGATCAGCCTTACAGAGCAGGAAGTGGTGATACACACCTTTAATCCCAGTAGACACACTCATTTGCCATAGAAACTAGACGGTGCATGCCTTTAATCCCATTAATCACACCTTTAATCACAGCCCTAGAGAGGCTTATAAAATGAGAGTAGACAGCTGTCAGTCTCATTCTGAGATTCCTAGAGGCAGGATCATCATTTCAGTCTGAGTCGAGGTAAAAGGCAGCTGCACTCATGTACACACTGCATATACACACACCCCACACAAACATACTTAAAAATAAAAATCTTTAAAAGTGATACATTTAAATTTTATTTTGTGTGTATGTGTGTATGAGAGAAAAGATAGAGAGAAAGAATAGAGACAGGGAGAATGAATGTGTGCTGGCATGATGATTGCACAGTACATTTGTGGAAGTCTGAGAACAATTCTCTATAGAGTTGGCTCTTTACTCATACTAATTATTTTCTATTGGAGAATAGGTTGGAGACATCATGCCCTGTTGTTTTTAATAGCTCATCATGTATTTCATTTGAATAAAGAAGTGTGTTGTCTTAGATAAGCAATATCATGAAATTCTGAACACTTCGCATTGATACAATATATGGTGGTGTCTATATTCTAGTTGTACCTGCCACTGCATTTTCTTCATGTGGTACAGAGATCTAGAACAAGTATTTAGTCTTTTGTTTCTTTGAATCTGAAGCATTATACAATGCTAACACTGATCATTTGTTTTGGGTTTATCTATATAAGTTACTCCTTTTTCCATTGCAACTAATAATTTGTAGGAAAAATCCTTCTAGATTTTACAAATACCTTGTCCCTCATCAAACTTCCCAAAGTGTATATCCAAATCTCTCTTTATATGTCTTCTTACTTTAGGATTGGAGTTGGGTGATTAAATATTAATAGTCTACCTGATTTATAACTGTTCTCTGTGGTAAGCTGATAAGCATAATATAAGATAATTTTCTAATTGTATCCTAACAATCATAATCCAAAATAATAAATTTGTGATACAACTGAATCTCTTGCTGTACATTGCTTTTGTAGGCATCAATGGCTATGTTTTTGGTAGCTTGCAGTTGAAAGTTTGTTTGCATGAGGTGGCCTACTGGTACATTCTCAGTGTTGGAGCACAGACAGACTTCTTATCTATCTTCTTCTCTGGATATACCTTCAAACACAAAATGGTCTATGAAGATACACTTACCCTGTTCCCATTCTCAGGAGAAACTGTCTTTATGTCGATGGAAAACCCAGGTCAGCTATTTATATTATCATTTCAGTAACAACTGTGAGTGTTTCATTGGTTTTTGCCAGTACCTTGTATTTGGACAGACAGTAAATATTTCAAGTGACTTTGATATGTGACTTTGGTAATAGGAAAGTATTTTAATGAGGAACAAAGAGCATAGAATTTGGTTGAAATATAAATAATAAAGATATAAATACAACATGAACATAAATTTCTTCTACATTTTACTAGCATGTTTATAAATAATTCTGCCATTTGTACCTTTGTATATAATCTTTATGTATAATACTTTCAAATGTATGTTTCATTTATTTTTAAAAAATATTTATTAAGGATATTCTGTATGCCAAGCACTATAATCATTGGTAATGTATGACAGTGCCAACTCAGTATTGTTGCTCAGTGTTACAGTACATACCTGCTATATGTACATTTCTGTATTCAATTTTTATAATTTATTTATTTTTATTTTCTATGCATTGATATTTTGCCTAAATGTTTGTCTATGTGAGGGTGCTCTATCCACTGGAACTGGAGGTAAAGACAATTGTGAGCTGCAATATGGGTACTGAGAATTGAACCTGGGTTCTCTGGAAGCACAACCAGTCCTCCTAACTGCTGAGCTGTCTCTCCAGTCCCCTGCATTTAATTCTTAACATAGAGAAACAAAGAAATGCAGCAAATCAGTCTTTCCCATAAAAAATAAAAAAGACATTTTTATCTGACATGATTCATAATTTTAAGTATGTTTGCTAAATGGTACTAGTGGGCTCTAGCTTACCAATAATTTCTAAACCTTAACTTAGTAGTCTTTCAGTACTAATCATGAAGTTGGCTGCTTATTTTGTTCCTGAAGTAGAGTTTTCTTCTGGCTTTCAAGAAATCACTATCTTTGATTCTCTTCATTTACTGATACCTTTGCAGGCAGTCTATTATAATTCATCTTCAAGAATTTTGATTTTCAGTAGTTTGAATATTATGTTTCTATGCTTGGAAAGAGAGAGAGAGAGATTAGATAGATAGGAAAGAAAAAGGTAGTATATTTTGTGTGGCATTCTCTTACCTCATTTATATAATTTGGTGTCTCATCTATTTTAAATATTTGTCTGTAGACAGAGACTGCACTTTCATTTCCCAGCTGACCAGACCCAAATAATCACACAAATAATTTGACCAATGGCTCAGATGCATTCCTAGATAGCTCTTACATCTTAAATTAACATATTTCTATTAATCTATGTATCACCTCAAGGCTATGGCCTACCAATAATGTTCTGGCATCTTTCTCCTTCAGCAGCTCCATGGTCTTTCCTTGACTCCTCTTTCTCTCTCTCTCTCTCTCTCTCTCTCTCTCTCTCTCTCTCTCTCTCTGTCTCTCCAGACTTCCCACCTGACTTTACTCTGCTAAGTCATTGGCCAAAACAGCTTTATTCATCAACCAATAAAATCAATACATATACAGAAGAACATCCCACATCATCTGTCCTTTTCTGTCTAATTAAAAAGGAAGGCTTTAACTTTAACATAGTAAAATTACATATGCAAAACATTTATCAAGCAAGAATTATAGTTATAATACTTAGTCCATTTATATTTGTCAAATTAAGAAAACACTCTATCATTTATCCTATCTAAGTCTAAATTTTTATATCTGATTTATCTTTTATAATAACTAAGGAAACAATAATTATAACTGTCTAGACTTCATCTCCATCAAAGACCCCAGAAGGATATAATATTACCTATGTACAGTAAGTGCATTGTAAGTAACTTCTAAAACTCTAGAAATGATAGAGACATCTCTCTATCTGGACAGTCACTCAAAGTTCTTCAGTAAATTGGGGCATCCATCTTTAGCTTATAGGCCCATAATATCTGGCAGACTTTGCAGTAAAGCAGGAAATGTGAAGATCTGTTTTGCCTTGTATTGGCAAAGTTCATCAGTTACTCCCCTCTGTATTCTTCAGAATGTCTGACAGTTTCCTCTGTGAAGCAGAAACCCTGAAGGATCATCCAGTCCTTTGGAAAGTTCAGCAGTCACTTTTGTATGGGTCCTGCATGTCTAGTTCATACAACATAATAATCAAGTAGTCCAGGCAAGAGCTGTTTCTTGCCCAAATGGCTAGCCTTATCACATTGAAGGCAAATTCCATAACGAGTTTCTTCAAAGCCCATCAATCAACCTCTCTGAAGTAATTGATGATGCCAAAAGTAGATATTTCTCATTGTTGAGAAAACTCTAAGTTCTTAAAACATTTTAAATGCCATATTCTGTAGGTGTTTGACGTGTTGAAGATTATCTAACTGAAATATATCCCTGTATATCTAGAAAACCTAAAAGTTTGAGTATTATAAATGACTATCTAGTCATCTTTATTTCTTAATATACATTACATTTTTAAATGAGCTGTATAAACATACCTTAAACAAGAGTAGAAATATACGTATAACAAAATTGATCTTAAATTTGTAACAATAAACCAAAGTCCATACCTATGTAAAGTATTCATTTCTATATCATATCAATCCTTTTCTTAGAAAGACCTTGACTGTGGCCATTAACCATTTATAATCAACCCCTGTTAAATGAAAATAAACATTTATAAACAGTATTTGGGAATTTAGGCATAGCTTTTTAGATGATTTTCTGCTGATTGTGGGTGCTGTTAATCAGGTCTTTCATGGAGTATCCTCTATGGTTGATTCACCTCAGTCAACAGTCCTGAAGCTATCATGGATGTTGGACCACCTGGGGCATTGCTTGAGTGGGTCTCGTTTGATCAAACCATATTAGTTGGTAAGGGATCCACAGCTTTCTGTCCTCTGTGGAAACAAAAGCAGAACCTTTTTCCAAAGTAACATGTCTTTAGACTTAAATTTTGAAGTCAAGATGCCTTTAAAATATGTATGTTGGTTTAGCTTAGCAGCCCATACAATGAAATGTCTCTCTGTACTTAGCTCATTCACAGTTAAAAAATTCAAAGAAAACACAATAATATACATAATCTAGACACTTTGTGCGTATTTTTATCTTTACTTGGCTGATTTTACTCTATTTTTAATTTTTTAAATTTTTTTAAGACAGGACTTCTTTGCGTATCTTTGGCTGTCATAGATCTTACTCTATAGACCAGGCTGGCCTTGAAGTCAGAGATCTGAGTCCCAAGTGCTAGGATTAAAGGCATGCACCACCATACCCGACTACTCTATTTCTTTTTTTAAAGGACGTTCTCTATCCTTTTTCTTTTTCCCCAAGCTTATGTATATTTTTAAATATATTGTAAACTGTTAAGAAGTTTTTGTTTTTGTTTTTAATTTGAATCTGTCTTTACTGTATATCTCTATCTTTTGTTGAGCTCATGAATCTTTAATTTGTTAAACAGCACGGCTAGAATTAAGGTTGCAGCTTTGGCTGTTGACTCTGTCCCATTCCTTAGCTTCTGAGAGTCTAACTTTATAGTAGAGGTACTGGTGAGAGCCATGTTTATTGCCATAACTCTGTGGAGTTTTAAGGTCCATGTCATCACCACAAAGCCTGCCTGATTGCTCATAAACACCATTTAAGTGTTCAGTGGCAGAGCCTCTTAAAAGAGCTGTAAAATTTTTGTCATTAATGCTGAATCAGCTCCTTTTAAAGGAGCCACATATTTGCTTGCCTCTAGCTTACCCACCCGAGACAATGCTGCTACCAAGAAGCCTTGCTTAACTCTATTCCTTTTTTTTGGTCTAGAATCCATTTTTTAAAAGCTTTGTCAGACTTTATGTGAAAATTCTTGTCCCTCATTGGACGTTATTTGTAGGCAGAGATTGCACTTACATTTCCTGGCTACCTAGACCCAAATAATCACACAGAAACTATATTAATTATAATACTGTTTGGCCAATTGCTCAGGCATATTCCTAGATAGCTCTTACATCTTAAATTAACACATTTCTATTAATCTATGTATTGCCTTGGGGCCATTGCTTACCAGTAATGTTCTGGCATCTTTCTTCTTCAGCAGTTACTTGGTACCTCTGTGACTCCACCTACTCTCTCTATTATATCTTTGTTCAGATTTCCTACCTAGTTTTACTCTGCTAAGTCATTGGCCAAAACATCTTTATTCATCAACCAATAAAAGCAACACATATACAGAAGGACAACCCACATCACTCATCTATCTATTTAAGTACTTATTCTGATCCTCATGTAATGTTTTTGTTTGTTCTATTAGGTTTTTTTTTTACTGTTTTCCCTTCTAGTTTTCCAGTTTTGTTAACTTCTAGAATTTCTTGTAATTTCATATAATATTTATTTTACATCTGGTTTACAATGTTCTTTTCAGGCCATAGTTATAAAACCATTCTTAGATGAATACACTTACTTAAAGAATAAGTCTTCCAGATCTGATAAGGTTTTCCTTATTAGTTCTACCTTGCTTTTTGAGAAAGAGTCTCTCATTGAACTTGGAGTTCATTGATTGACTAGGTGGGATGGCCAATGAGATCTGCTTGTTTCTGCATCCCAATCCTCTGAGATTACAGACATGCAATTTTTTTACTTGGATTTAGAATACTAATCTAGAGATACTTTGATTAAGGGTGGGGTGTGTTAATGACTTCCTTTAATCAAGCATTCAGGAGACTGTGTGGGGCAGATTTCTAAGTTTGAGGCCATCCTGATTTAAATAGTGAGTTTTAGGTCAGTCAGGGCTTACACAGTCCTGGTCTCAAAATGAGAAAGAAGTAGAAGAAGAGGAAGAGACTTTTGTCTTTAGTTAAACTACATTGCCTGACTTTTGTAATACAGCAATCTACTTGCATTACAACTATAACTAAATATAAATGAAAAAGAACAGTATAACTAGTTCTTACATCTCAATCCAGTATCTTAAATAATAAATACTTTGGATTGGGGAGATAATCAGTGAGTAAAGTACTTGTCATACAGATCACCAGACAGAACCCATGGAAAAAGCAAGGCATGTTAACATACATCCATAATCCCAGTGTTCATACAGCAAGGTAAGAATCTAAGACAGGAGAATCCTCAGAAGTATACAGGCCATCTAGCCTGGCATATGCAAAAGAAAACAGACAGATTCTATCTTAAACAAGGTGGGGGGGCAACGCATGTATTGACACCAAAAGTTGACCTCTGACCTAAAAACATGCACTATGGCATATGCATGCACAAGTGAGCACACACCATAGAGAATGAAAACATAATGTGTTATAGTCGGAATGCCCTCAACTCTGGGATCATTCTTTCTAAACCTGATGCTGAATTATCAGCTTGGGACTTTTCCCCACCTCAGAATTAAAACCTTGTTCCTGGTATCTATAACTGATAAGCACTCCATTATTTTGTTGGGAAAAATTCTATATTCACTTCTTGAGAATATCTGCATTAGAAATAGCTAAATGTTACATCATTGAATATTGCAAATGCTTTTTACTGTATTTGTTACTTTAATGTGTGCGTATGTGTGTGGGCACATATGTCATATCACGGGTGTAAAGGTAAGAGGCCAACTGCAGGACTCAATTCTCTCCTTCTACTATGTGGATTCTAAGACTTTCACTCAGGTCATCAGGCTTGGCAGCAAACATTTTTACCCACTGAACTCTCTCAATAGCCTTCAATATTCCTTTCTTGTAGATCAGAAACATCCATAGAATAGTAGCAGCAATGCAATAATGACTTTTACCACCTTTTGGATTATTATATATGGAGAGAATTTGACCAAATAACCTATAATGTAATTGTCTTGAATAACATTTCTTCATTTGTCCAGAAATAAGAGAGAACCCCCAATTCAGAAATTACCTAGAACCTGGGTTATGAGTAACCAGAGTTCTATTTTTTTTCTCTTTTTCAGGTTTATGGGTCTTGGGATGTCATAATTCTGACTTTCGGAAGAGAGGTATGACAGCTTTGCTGAAAGTTTCTAGTTGTGACAAGAGTATTAGTGATTATTATGGAGAAATGTATGAAGATATTCCAACACAGTTGGTAAATGACAACATCATTGAACCCAGAAGCTTTTTTCAAAATTCAAATCATCCTAAGACTAGGAAAAAAAAATTCACAGCCACCACAATTCTAGAAAATTATGTAGAGAAGATTGAGACTCAGTTTGGAGAGACAGCAGAGACGTTTAAAATGCAAAGTGTTTCCTCTAGTGACTTGTTGATGCTTTTGGGACAGAGTCATCCTACTCCACATGGTTTATCCTTATTAGATAACCAAAAAGCCATCTATGAAGCTATTCCTGATGATCATTCACTTGATGCAATAGACAGCAATGAAGACTCATCTAAAGAGGCCCAAGTCAGGTCAGAACACCATCAAAGTGGGAAAATAGTATTTACTCCTGAACCAGACTGCCAGTTAAGATCAAATAACAGTTTGGAGACAACTATAGATGTAAAGTGGAAGAAACTTGATTTGCAAGTTTCTAGTCTGCAAAATAATCTAATGACCACAACAATTCTGTCAGATAACTGGACAGCAATTTCTGAGGAGACAGGTTATTCAGAATCTCCAGGTATGCCAGTTCACTTTATTAGTAAATTAAATACCATTGCATTTGGTAAAAAAACACATCCCTTTATTAGGTCTCATGCACCTCTGAGCATTAGTGAAGGAAATAGTGATTCCAACTTGTTAGATGCAACTTTAATAAATAATCAAGAAAGTTCACTGGGAGATAATATATCATCAATAGAGAATGATAGATTATTCAAAGAGAAGAGATTTTATGTGATTGCTTTGTTAGCCAATGATAATACTTTATTCAAAGATAATATATCTTTGATGAAAACAAATGAGACATATAATTGTTCAACCACTAATGGAAAAGTTCACATTGACAGCCCAGCATCAATTGAGAATAGTACAGCAGTCTTGCAAGATACTGTATTAAAAATCAATAGTGAAATTCAAGGATTAACACCTTTGATTCATGATGGAGCACTTTCAGGCAAAAATACTACAAATTTCAGACTGAAGTATATGCTAACTAGAACTGACTCATCAAAAAATAAAGAAATATTTCACCAAAAAGATAAAGATCCTACTATACAAGATAAAGAAAATACAATCATGACATTTTTCAAGATACTGTTGCCAGAATCAGCAAATTGGATGAAGCAGACCAATTTAAATAACTCCTTGAACTCTGAGCAAGGGCCTAGCCTAAAGCAATTAGTATATTTAATGTTAGAAAAGTCTGTGAAAAATCAGAATTTCTTGTCAGAGAAGAAGAAAGTGATACTAAAACAGGATGGATTTACAAAGGACACAGGACTCAAACATAGGGTTTTTTCAAGCAACATGAGTATATTTCTTACTAGCTTGCCTAATATACAAGAAAATGATAGGTACAATCAAGAAAAAGATATTCAGGAAGAGATAGAAAAGGAAGCATCAATCGAAGAAAAAGTAATTTTGCCTCAGGTACACATAGCAACTGGTTCTAAGAACTTCCTGAAAGACATTTTCTTTCTAGGCAGTAGGCAAAATATAAGTTTAGATGAAGAGATACCTGCACTAATACTTCAAGACATCAGTTCATTAAACAACTCAACAAATACAGTAGAGATTCAGATGGCCCATTTCTTTAAAAGAAGGGCGGATGAGGAAACAAATTTAGGAGGCTTGGTAAATGAAACTAGAGAAGCAGTAAAGAACTATCCACGCCAGAAGAATATTATTACTCAACGTAGTAAACGAGCTTTGGGACAATTCAGACTCACACTAGAAGAAACAGAGCTTGAAAAGCAACAAATTGTAAATAGTGCCTCAACTCAATGGCCTCAAACCATGAACTATTTGGCAAAGAGTTTTATTACACAGATAGACCAGAGCAAGGAAAAGGAAAAGTTCATTATTCAGTCTCCCTTATTGGATTCTACAATGATTAAAAGCACCACTCAGAAAAATAGTTCAGGATCACACATTGTAAAAACTTCAGCATTTCTACCAACAGATCTCAAGAGAATCCCATTTCAAGACAAATTTTTTCATGTTCTAGCATCATCCTACACTTATGACATTAAGACAAAAAGTTCCAGAGTTCAAAAAAGTAGTCATTTCTTAAAAGAAACCAAGAGAAATAACTCTTCTTTAGCCATCTTACCATGGGAGAGGATCATAAACCAAGGAAAATTTGCCTCCCCAGGGACAAGTAATACAAACTCAGTCACATATAAGAAACTTGGGGACATTGTTCTCTTGAAACCAGTCTTGCCTGAAGAATCTGACAAAGTTGAATTGCTTCCTCAAATTTCCATTCATGAAAAAGAACTTTTGCCTAAAAGAACTAGCCATGAATCTCCTGGACACCTGGATCTCATGAAAGAGGCCTTTCTTCAGAAAACACAGGAAGCAAAGAGACATGTGGAAAGTCTGAAAGGAACAAGAGAGAGCTCTGAAAAGACTCCCTCTAAACTGCTGGACCATCATACTTCACAGATACAAAAAGATAAGTGGAAATCCAAAGAGAAGTCACCAGAAATTATACCCATTAAGAGAGAGGATACCATTTTGTCTCTTAACCCTCATGAAAACAATCATTCAGTAGTGGCAAATGAGAAACAAAATTGTTCCCAAAGAGAGGCCTCTTGGGTAAAGCAAGGTCAGACTCAAAGATTGTGCTCTCAAAACCCACCAATCTTGAAACGCCATCAAAGGGAACTTAGTGATTTTCAGTCAGAACAAGATGCAACTGATTATGATTCTATCACTGTTGAAACAAATGAGGATTTTGACATTTATGGTGAAGATATAAAGCAGGATCCCCGCAGCTTTCAAAAGAAGACACGGCACTATTTTATTGCAGCTGTGGAGCGACTCTGGGACTATGGAATGAGTGCATCTCCCCATGTTCTACAAAATAGGTTTGTATTTTTTGGTTTTTTCTATGCTATTGTGGCCTTTGATATTCTAGGTGTCAAAATGATTTTATAAAATGTCATCATTGTCCATCAACCCTATGAGCTGCAAGAGGAATCTTTTAATGAACTCCCTGAAAGTAAAAGTGAAGTGTATGGTAAAGAAGTTGAAGGTGTACGTAGGAATGTTTTCTAAAATATGGGAAATTGTAAAAGGAGCTACGGGCTGTGTCCCACCATCTGGCTTCCAGCTAGCTTTATCCAAAATAATTACATGGAAACTGTATTCTTTTAAACACTGCTTGGCCCATTAGTTTCAGCCTCTTATTGGCTAACTCTCACATCTTGATTAACCCATTTCTAATAATCTGTGTAGCACCACAAGGTGGTGGCTTCCCGGGAGGATTCTAAACTGTGGCTGTCTCAGAGAGGAGAGTCATGGCGACTGCCTCACTTCCCTTCTTCTCAGTATTCTGTTCTGTCTACTCCACCCACCTATGTTCTGACCTACCAGGCCAAGCAGTTTCTTTATTAATTAACCAATGAAAGCAACAGAAATACACAAGATTCTACTACATCACGAAATCCAAAAGAAAAATGAATCAATTAATTTTAAGAGAGCCAAAGGAGGTTGTGCTGGAGAAGAGAAAGCACAGGCAAATTTAGAGGAAAGGCATAAGAACAATCAGTCAACAAATACAACAACACCTACTGTGTGACAGATACTATTACAGGCACCTGGGTACAGCATACCAAGAGCTTACCTGCCCTTAGAACAAGAGAGAACAACTAGTATAAAAACAATTAAGGGAGGACTAGGGCGATGGCTTAGTCAATAAAGTGCATGACATGAAAACATAAAGATCTAAGTTCAGCAGAGGACTCAAGTTCAGTTTCCAGCACCTGTGTCAGGTGACTAATATCTATAACTTCAGCTCCCAGAAATCTGTTACTCTCTTCTGGTCTCCATGGATGCACACCCTCAAATGCACAGATTTATATATGCATGCACACATGTGTACATACATGCATATGCACATATACACAATTCTCAAAATAATAAAAATATGTCTTAAAAATGAATGTGGTAACACATACTTGTAATCCTAGTGCTGGAAATGCAGAAACTATCAGGCAGATGTCTTGCAGGGGGCCACTGGCCAGCCTCCTTGCCTTAATTGATGAGCTCCAGAATCAGTGGTAGACACGCATCTCAAAAAACAATGTGGATGGCTCCTGAGGAATGACATCCAAGGTTCATCCCAGGCCTTCACAAATGTGCATACATCTAGACACAAATACAAAAAGAGGAAGAATTGGCTTGGCAGTGATGGTGCATTCTTTTTGAATCCCAGCACTTGGGAGGTAGAGGCAAGAGGATCTCATAAGTTTGAGGTCAGCCTGGTCTACAAAGCAAGTTCCAGGACAGTCAGGACTACAGAGAAACTCTGTCTTGAAAAAAAAAACCAAAACACAAAAAAAGAGAGAGAAAGAATTAAGATAATTTCAAGGGTGCTCTTCAGAAAATAATACAGAACAATGACGAGTAGGTTACTTCAACGCTGATAGTGAAAGAAATCCCTTTTGAGGAGCTGAGACCTAAAGAGAATGAAGTCAATTGATGGAGCTTAAAAAAGACAGAGAGAAAAATACAAAGACTCTAACAATGGGACATGTTTAGTGCTTTTGAGGCACAAAAACAATTATTACTGGAGTACAGTGAAAAGTTCAAGGTATTCAGGGCATTAGGGTAGCAGAATTGAGCAGCCGATGCACAATACAGGCCCTAGAGAAAACATTTAAACTGCTAATAAGTGGACCATCTATGCTTCTATATAAAGCCCACCATACAAATTTTGTACTTTATCTCATTCCTTTCCCTCTCTTAAAAATGTTTCTATAGAACAGTGGTTCTTAACCTTCCTAATACTGTGAGTCTTTAATGCTGTTCCTCATATTATTGTGACCCCCAACCATAAAATTATTTTGTTGTTATTTTAGAACTATAATTTTGCTACTATGTAACATGGAGGCTTGACTTGTTTGTTGGGGTTTCTGTCCCGCCCAGTCCCCCAGCCATTTAGTCCAATAAAAAAAATCACACAGAGATCTCTATAAGTTATAAAGCTGATTGACCCATTAGATCAGACTACTTATTAGCTCTTGTAGCTTATATTAACCCATTATTATGATCTATGTTAGCCATGTGGTTCAGTACCTTTTTCAGTGGGGCAGATCACATCCTGCTGCTTTGGTGTTCTGGGTAGGAGGGGGAGGAATCAACTTCCTTCCCAGAATACTCCTGTTCTCACTACATCATTTTTACTTCCTGTCTGGTTTTCCCACCTATACTTCCTGCTGGCCAATCATCGTTTATTTAAAACATGATTGACAGAATACAGACAATTCTCCCACACCACTTCTCCCTCTTTCTTAAAAAAACAAAGGAAAATATCCATAGTCCATTTTTGGGGAATGTGGGTGTAGTATTCCAGACTACTTCCAGCTGGTTGGGGGTACTGATCATCTTATGGGAACCTAAAGAAAAGTATCATCAAGTCCTGTCTGGAGTATCTTGTGAGTCTTGATCATCTCAGGCAGCAGTCTTGAATCTGTTCTCAATGAAGAACTCAGACATCTGGGCCATCTATTCCTGCCGGAGATTTCTCAGGTAGTCTTCCTTGATCAAAGCTGATTTTTCTTAACTCTGAATTTATCCACAGCCTCTCATTTTCTGTGGAAACAAAAGCAAAATCTCTTCTCCCAAGTAACATACCTTTTGACTTCAATTTTGAAGCGAAGGTATTTTCAAAATACCTATCTTGGATTAATTCAGCAGCATTTATAAGCAAATAATTTTTAACTCTGTTGCTCCTTCCTCAGCATTCAAACAATTTAAAGAGGGCATAATAGCAAACAGGATCAAGATTCTCTGTATATTTTGCATCTTCATGCAGCTTTATTTTAACCTCTATGTCTTTTATTTTTACTTTGAACTTTTGACTTTTTGAGACAGGATCTCTGTATATCTTTGTCCTGGAATTCCCTTTGTAAACCAGGCTATGCTTGAACTCACAGAGATCTGTGTCTCTCTCTGCCTCCCCAGTGCTGGGATTAAAGGTATGTACCACCACACCCAACTATTCTCTTTCTTTTTTATCTTAAGGCTTTAAAACTTTTTTTTCAAGCCTGCATATATTTTTAGCACACTGTAAACCATTTAGAGGTTTTCTTACTCTTTGAATCTCTCTTTACTATATGTCTCTCTCTTTCTGACCACAAGGGTCTTTAGTTTGCTAAGGAACATGGAAAAGATAACACTCAAAATCTCTTAAGGCATTTCAAGGTCCTTGCCAGGAAGCAAGCTGCAACAGTGTTTCCATAAACAACATTCCAAAGTTCCTATGGCATTTCAAGGTCCTTGCCAGGAAGCAAGCTGCAACAGTGTGTCCATCCATAGTCTGGACTGCCTGCTTGAAAGTCAGAGTTTTCCCTGGCAGGACCACCCAGAAAGCCTACATTTTAAAACAGCGCAGTTTTTCCTGTTACGGCTGAAAACTGAAATGCTTTAGTCTTGTCTTTCCCAAGCTTGCTCAAGCTTTCTATGGATGCAGTTATCCACGTGGCACCATTTTGAAACATGAGGGGCCTGCTTGTTTGTGTTTTATGTCCTGCCCAGTTCCCACAGCTGCTTAGCCCCCAGAGAAAATCACACAGAGATCTCTATAAGTTATAAAACTGATTGGCCCATTAGCTCTAGCCTCTCATTGGCTAACTCTCACATCTTGATTAACAAATTTGTCTGATCTATGTTAGCCATGTGGCTCAGTACCTTTATCAGTGGGACAGATCACATCCTGCTGCTTCAGTGATCTGGAAAGGAGTGGGAGGAATCAACTTCCTCCTTCCCAGAATACTCCTGTTCCATTGCATCATTTTTACTTCTTGTCTGGTTTTCCCACCTATACTTCCTGCCTGGACAATCAGCATTTATTTAAAACACAATTCACAGAATACAGACAATTCTCCCACATCTACAATAAAGTCTCTTGCAAAACCCAAAAATGGTTCCCTTAATTAAGATATTTAATCCCTGCTCCCATATCCATCGTTCCTCCATCCCATCCATCACATTCCCCAAAGCTTTGCCGAATCCTCCCCTTCTCCCTTCTCTCTACATATCTCCCCTTACATCCACGACCCCCCCCACTCCGTGCACCCAAGTTTTGCCTGGAAATTTTGTCTACTTCCAATATCAGAGAAGAAAACTATATGATTTTCTGTAGGTCCATATTCTTATATAGCATCTCTAGGGTCACAAATTATAGCCTCAACGTCCTTTAATTATGGCTACAAACCACTTATGAATGAGTACATACCATATTCCTCTTTTTGGGTATGGGTTACATCACTCAGTAAAGCATTTTCTATTTCCATCCATTTGCATGGAAAATTCAAAATGTCATTGTTTTTTACCGCTGAGTAAAACTCCAATGTGTAATGTTTCACACCTTCTTTGACCATTTTTATATTGAGGGGCACCTAGATTGTTTCCAGGTTCTGGCTATTACAAATAGTGCAGCTATGAACATAGTTGAACAAATGCATTTGTAGTATGATAGGGCATCTCTTGGGTATATTCCCAAGAGTGGAATTGCTGGGTCCTGAGGTAGGTTGACTCCCAGTTTCCTGAGAAACCGCCACACTGATTTCCAAAGTGGCTGCACACGTTTGCATTCCTACCAACAACGGAGGAGTGTTTCCCTCACTCCACATCCTCTCCAGCATAGGCTATCATTTGTGTTTTTGATTTTGGCTATTCTGACAGGTGTAAGATGGTATCTCAAAGTTGTTTTGATTTGCATTTCCCTGACTGCTAAGGAAGTTGAGCATGACCTTAAGTGTCTTTGGGCCATTCGAAGTTCTTCTGTTGTGAATTCTCTGTTCAGTTCAGTACCCCATTTTTTCATTGGCTTAATTAGAGTTTTAGTGTCTAGTTTCTTGAGTTCTTTGTATACCTTGGAGATCAGACCTTTGTCTAATGAGGGGTTGGTGAAGATCTTCTCCCAGTAAGAAGGTAGCCTTTTTGTC